CTCTCCTCCCCACATGTATTTTGGGAACTTGGCACTCTGCTTATGGCCACCCACGGCTAGGACAGAAAATCATAGAATCGGAAGGGACCTCAGGAGGTCATCTAGTCCAACCCCCTGCTCAAAGCAGGACCAATCCCCAGACAGATTTTTACCCCAGTTCCCTAAATGGCCCCCTCAACGATTGAACTCACAACTCTGGGTTTAAGCAGGCCAATGCGCAAACCACTGAGCTATCCCACCCCCCGAAGATTCATTGTAAGCCCGATCTACCGTACTGAGGAATCTGGACTACGCGGTGCTTTTCTCCTGAGGAGAGGGTCATAAGGTGGCTCAGACCTGGGCAGGATGAAGCAAGGAAGTTGAAGGATGTGTGAGAACTGCCATGGGGACGGCAGCTGGCTAGAGAGACAATGGACAAGTTACAGGAAGGAAAGAAGTAAACCAGCGGGTTATTCTGTGAAGCTGCCCCAACCAGCGCACTCTCCCTCTGAATAGGGTGACCACATGTGGACTCTTGGCAGTCCAGACACAGTAATGTAGCATATGATCTTCCAACCAACGAATAACAATGCTAGTACTAATTATAATACTTTGCTCTTCTGCGGTGTACTCGGCAGCTCTCAATGCACTTTATAGACATTAGTGAATTAACCCCACCACACCCCCGTATTATTATTATTCTCCTTTGGCTAAAGGGGAGCTGAACAAAGCACAGCGAGGTCACCCTGCCAGTCACTGGCAAAGCTGGAACTAGTCCTCCAGCATCATCCTGACTCCCAGCCCCAGGCCATGCATCCTCTGAGTGACAAGCCCTCAGAAAGAGGAACAAGGAGGAACTCAATCCAATCAAACACAGTGGCTTCTGCTGAACATTGCTGTGCCAGTTACCTGCCTATCATGCCACACAAAGCAAGTCACACAACAGAGCGGTGTCCAGAAGAGAGATGCAGCATCCAGTGCAAGAAGCATTCTCAAGAGAAACTGCCAAACCTCGCTTTGATGGCGACTGCTTCCCTGAAGAGGGTGTGCATTGAAGGGTCTGTTGATTGCTCCTGTGGGATACATCAGCTTCACCCAGCTGCATGGGTGAAAGAGACAGGGAGAGAGGGGCCAGAATTTCTTTGGAAGATTATTGCCCAAGTAGGACAGGCTGGCAGAGGGCCTGCAACCTTTGTGAAACAGGACAGGTGAAGCTCTGCAATCAAATGGCCTGGAGCACAACGCAGCATCTGCGCAGAGTACTTAGGAAAAGAGGTTTGGTAGCTACACTTACTCCAGTAGCTCCTTAACTCATGAACTGAAAATGGAAGCAAAGAATGGAGTTTGTGGGAAAAGAGCCATCCCAGAGAGCTGTGCTTGGCCATAGAAGAAGAGATATGAGTGTCCTAACCCTGTGCCTGAGCATCCCAAACTGAGCCCTGCTCTTCCCCCAAGACTGCTGGAAACTGGGCCTGTATCTCTTCTCACACTCTGTTCACAGTGGAATGGCTCTTGGTTTACACTGGAGTGAGAAGGGAATCAGGGTGTGATGTCCTGGGTCTTGAACCAAATCCTGGGATTTCCCAGACAGCTGCTGTATCCTGGCTTCTACCCAATGTCTGCCAAAACCTGGTGGGCCAAGAAGCAAGTAGGACTATATAGCCTCAGCCAAGGCACTACCATGGGCACCCTGACTGGTGGATTGCCCAGCTCCACTGATTGGGCCAACCATGCTATTTAAGGCAGGAGGAGGAACAGGAAGTTTGTCTGAGCAGCAAGGCGATTTCCTGTTGTGGCTGCATTGGCCCCTACTTGTGCCTCCCTCTTGCACCCAACCCTATTCCTGCTCCGCTCCTGCCTCATGGCCGCCTTCGCTCCCATTCCCACCGTGGTCCTTCGCTCCCATTCCCACCGTGGTCCTGCTCTGTGCTTGATCCTTGACTCTCCTCCAGTTCCTACCCTTGTGCCTCACCTCCAATCATCAGTTAACTGTCTTGGCTCCTTCCCTGGCCTCTGACTTCTGACTGGCTTGACCCTTGGCTCTGGCATTTGGAATCTGACCTTGGCTCTGAGCCTCAGCTTCAATCCCTGGCTCTGGTAACTGGCCATTGACTCTAGTGCTGACTCTTGTCTCATTTCCCCAACCTGGATACTTGCTCCACCCACTAGTCCTGACTCCTGCTCTGACTACTAGGCCAGACCACCTACATCCTGGTCCATAACGCAGAGCTCCACAGACTCTGCGATCAGCGTCTCCCTATCAAAGATGGCGGCAGCTGCAAACAGCTCCATTCTGTTCGGAATTAGCCCCAGCCCTCAAGACGTGGGGAATCTGGGTGAAGGCTCAGGGGCTTGGCTTCTTTCTGAGAAGCGTCCACATCTGAAGGGCTGGGACTGGGCTGAGGAGCTGGGAGTGGAACGTCAGTGGAGCGAAAGGAGCCAGGAGCTGCTCAGAGAGGCTGTTCCTCTGTCCCCTGTGGGGGCCATGGCAGAACGCTATACAAGCAGGGAGAGGATTCATTCTGATCACACGGCCCAGAGAGGTTTTAGCCCTGAGGGAACATAATACCGGCACCTAGACCAGGGCGACCCTCTTTTGTTCCATCCCAGCACAGTTTCTGTCAAACAAAGCCCTGTACTCCTCGTAGCTTGACTCCCTTCCCAACGTACTGAGCCCCGGGACCTAGAGACTGGGTCAAGCACAGCCCAGAACGGGGCCCTTGAGCACTGCAGCATGATGAGTGTCAAATGGGAACAGGTTCCTCACTAGGGTCTGCCTTTAACAGCCTACCCCAGGAGAACACCTTCCCACTGCCAGCCTGGCACCATGGGACCCAGAGTGCCTCAGAATTAGCCTGGGCCTGGGACTGGAGCCCAGACAGAGCCAGGGAGCATCTCACACTACACGCCCTGCTCTGCAGGGTGGGAGCCAAAGCAGTGTTAGGAGGGGTGAGATAAGTGGGGGGGGGAGAGGAAGGGGCCTGCTAAGGGGAGTGGGAGAGGGGCCAGTTACAGGGTATTTGGGGGAGGGGCACAGAAAGGGGCTAGTTAAAGTGAGTAGGAAAGGGGCCATTTAAGGATCATAGAATCATAGAATATCAGGGTTGGAAGGGACCTCAGGAGGTCATCTAGTCCAACCCCCTGCTCAAAGCAGGACCAATTCCCAACTAAGGAGAGTGTGGGGGAGGGGCAAAGACATCTAGTTATAGGATATAAGCGGGAGGGGCCATTTATGGGATACGAGGGGGAAGGGGCATTTATGGAGTATGAGGGTTATGAGGAGCAGCAGCAGTTACTGGGTATGTGGGGCTAGTTAAAGTGACAGGGTCTGTGGGGGAGAGGCAGAGAGGGGCCATTTAAGGGGAATGTGGGGGAGGGGCAAAGACAGCTAGTTACAGGGTAAGAGAGGAGAGGCCATTTATGGGATATGATGGGAGGGGCAGTTACTGAGTATGTGGGGGAAAGACAGAGAGATGGGCCAGTTAAATTAGCAATTATTAAGACGTGTATTTAAAATCTGAAGTCATTTATGATCTTATCCAGGCAGGGGGCTCCATTCTGCCAGTTGGGAAAACATGTGCTCATGTGATGGGAACTGAATGTGTGACATATTGAGCAACTGTTGAAGGGTCATTAACATGGCCACAGACTTGGTCTGGGATGCTGACCTGCCTTTTGAAAGCTCTGAGATTCTTCCCAGTGCACAGAGGTATGTCCTAGTTTGAATTAATTCTACAGAATGTAAATACAGACTGAAATACAAAACACCTCACAACTTTTGGACCCATGAGTCTATTTTTGAAAGAATTTACAACTACTCTGTATCTAATTAGTATTATACATCAGATATACAACATGCCCATTTAGTATAATTATGTTGGATATATAATTTATGCACATGAAATGTAACTGTCTGCTCATACGACGATTGGAAAATATCCATCTAGTTTTGGGTTAATAGACAAACTTTTCTGTCTGTCTCTGTTCAAACAGATTTAGCAGAGGGTTTTCCATTCCTCTGAAATGATGAGTCCTCAGTTGTCACTGAGAGGAATAATTAGGCTCAGAAACAGAGCTGAGGAATTGGACTGGGATGAGATGTTAATAGGATGGTGAAATCGTGGCTCCACTGAAGTCAATAGGAGTTTTACTATTTCAACAGAGCCAGTGTTTCACCCAAAGTGCTTTTTAGCAATGTAATGATGGGTGAGTTTTGGTGCCTCCGGCATCATGTTGGCAAGAAGCTGAAGCAATGAAATCCCACCCCTGTTTTCTATTTACAGACTACAGAAATTAGGATGAGTGCAGAAAGGGCCTAACGAGCATTTCAGCATAATTGTGCTTATTGACATGTCAACCCCACTACTTCCTACAGTGAGAGAGCAGGCGATTTGTAGGCACTATTATATTTCTGTTTTATGAGTATATTTAATATAAACAAGACTTCATTTATCAGCTAGGCTAATTGTGTCACTAGAACTGACAGTCCCCTAGTAAGCTTTGACTTTTAAATTAGAAAGAACAACAGCTACCTGGGGGACATCCTAGCATCTAACGCTTGACTGTGACTATTAGCAGCCAAGAGCAATATAAGTAGTCACTGAAAAATTCAGTACTGGCCAAAAGGGCTGGTGTGAGAGATGGTGACAGGGCCCCACCCTGCCAGGCTAGGATGCTGCAAACCTACTGTGGGCTCTGTGAGACTTGGAGCAATTGAAGTTTAAAAGTCCTAAATTCATAAAAACGAATGAGTTACAGCAGATAGCACTTGGAAGGTGCCACCTGCTGCTATGGCTTTCTTTGACAGAAACTGGCGCATGTTGGGGATTCTCTCCAATTGCCCGTTTTTTCTTCTTACGTCAACAACATGAGAATGGTTTTAAAAACAATGCAGATGTGACTGTCAGAAAAGTTTTTTCAGACACTCAGTTAGAGGTTATCTTGGCCTGTAAGGCCACTGCAGTTTGGGGTGCTGGGGTCACACCAGTCCTTACTGATTATCTACAATGCACCGTGTCATATCAAACAGTCACCTCTGTTTTGCTCGCTGTGCGGTAATGGTGGTGGTGTCCTGGGATATAATGCAGTTGTTCCACTGTGTTGTGCCGTCGGGAGGCGAATGCTTGGCGCTTGGCGGAAGTTTGGTTCATACATAAGGTATTGTACAAGTTATTTGAGGCACTGGGATGGGAGTGCATCTTTGTCATCCTGTAGCGATCCAAGACAGGCGTAGAAACAAAGACGTCTGTGTGTGACAATGCGCGCGACATGGACTGGTCTGCGAAACCCGTGCGCTCCGGGGAGAGCAGGGGGTCTTGGGAATGGAGGCGCTCTGCGGACAAAAGCTGTTCATCAGAGAGGATCCGTTCATAGGACATGCTGAACTCCTCGGGCATGACCCTCTCAGGGGACAGCACCCTGTCCTGGGACATAGCCCGTATGGGTCGGCGGGGCCGTTCTCTGTGGTTGGTCTGTTTCTGAGACATTTGGATGACATTGAGAGGGAGGGTCCCTCGTGCTGCCAGATCAGGAAGGTGTCTCCTCTTCATGTAATATTCATCAGCTTCTTTGTCAGCTGGGAGGGGAAAAGAAAGGGAAACAGTGTTAGGAGCAGCTGAGGGTGTGGTCACAGGAGGGAGAGCAGGGATGGTGTGCAGAGAACAGCGCTCTGGAACAAGGCCTCCTGGTGCCCTGGATAATGTCTGAAGCAGCACAAATATGGAGACCCATCAGGCCTTTCACCTTATCCTTCAGAGGTTTAGGCATTGCCAGAGACAGCCATAGCACTGTGCTATCAATCATGGAACTCAAAGATCTATTTGCACTGTGTGAATATGTATATATTACACATGGACACAGTGTACATCATGTGTATGCACACACAGCCATACAGGTACAGTGGGGATATCAGTTCGTACATGGGTGACTGTGTGCTATATCGCAATTGTAACATGTCACACAATGAACCCCATGTACTGAGTCCATGTCACAATATTGTGTGATTTGTAGTATTACCAGGTCACTGAGAATTCGAGATGGTTGGAAAACAAAATGTCCAGTCTGTGGGAAATTCTGACATTTAGAAATTTCCTTTTGTCCCAAATTGGAACAAAAAGCTGAAATTTCCAAATTTAGCATGAAACAAAAATAACAAAAAATTTGTTTCAGAAACATTGAAGCATCCTTATAAAAACATTTCATTTCGAAGGTCGAGATGTTTCCTTTCAACGGTATCATTCTGACTTTTATATTATATTATATTATAAAATGATTTTGTTGTTTGTCAGTGACTGGCCATGAATGTCCCATGGATGTTTGTTTCAATCAGAGTCGCTCTCTCTGTATTTTTTCAAAAAAACCTTTTTTTTTTTTTTTTGTAAATTCAGCTGCGAACTCGTTCTGAGGGGCGTGGGGTGCTCCTGTGGGACACTGTATTTTCTGTTTGGTGTTTAGTTTCCTAAGGGCACTGGATATCAGTGCAGAAATATGAGGTCCATCCCAAAGTCTCTGAGAAGCTCAGGGAAACAGAGGCTGACATACAAACCATTCAGCTCTGTGCGGTGCCGTTTGTTCCATGAAAAGTGAACTGGTCTGCCTGTCATTCTTCTGTCTTAGATGCTCTGTTACATAAATGGGGACTCAGCACATCCTCCCTTTTTGTTGGATTTTAAGCCACATAAGTCTTGGAGTGGAGGTATATTGGCCTTGAGATGTCTGTCTGACTCATTGGTACCACCACAGTACCTGACCCTGAGCAGGTAGAACAACCTGCCAAAACTAGGTTACAGCCTGAAGAAACAACCCCACAATTATTCCAAGGAAGCAATTTCTGTGGCACCTTCTGGATCTTACCTTTGCCCTAATCCTGGGGAAATATGACCACCTGTTTAGAGCTGTGCAGTGACTTTGGCCCTTGAACACTGGCCTGCTTGCATACTGCCATGGTGACCTTAAGTTAATATTGACACTTCTGTGATGATATGTAAGGGAGCATCTAGTCTTATTGCACACTGTGCCCTCTCAAAGCTAACAGCAGAATTCAATGTAAGTCTTGTATCATTGGGCTGGGGGACTGTTTAATGGCCAGGATTAAGGGTCAGTAAATTGCCTCCTCTGCATTCCTTTCACTGCAAGGCTTTCAGTGACTGCTCACAGCGTGTCCAGAAACACCCAACACAACCAGGCCAGGGGGTCCCAACACCCCAGGACTTGTCAGTAGTCTTCACCCCAGAATGAAACACATACAGCACCCCTGACATGCAGTCACCTCTGCCGTGGAGGGCAGCACTCCACTAACTCTCAGCATGCTGCAAAAGTGTGTGTGGTGGTGGCTGTGTCCACAGACATTGAGGCTAATGCCTGTGCAATATTTGTCCATGCAGAACAGACAGGTTCATCAAAATGAACCTCTCCTGCAACTGCATGGGATAGCGAGGGCTGAGAAGTGCGTGCAGGAATATCGGTCCTTTGCTGTTTCCCTTTCCCTAGCTTCCTTGGATGGCGCAAGCTTGTCAGTGAATTGCTTTGTGAAGGCTGCACACCTGAGAATATGTTAAGGACAATGCAAAACACTGGTTTCTCCAGCCTCTTATTCTCACTCAGGCTGAACGAGAGCATATTAAAGAGAACAGTAGGGGTGGGGGAAGAAAAGCTTCAGCTCGTGGAAGCCTCTTTTCGTGTTCAGATGATTGAAAGAGCAAAACTGCTCACAGGCCAGTCAAAGCAGTCTCAAGGTAAGCAAGGCAAGTGGGGCACAACATAGATGCCTTTGAATCTATCCTGGCTAAGGGGGCAATTACACAGAAACACAACCCAAATGCTCCCTCTCTGTCTGATACAGCCACAAAAATGTAAGGCTGAAATGCCCTCGTGGAAGAGATATGAAGTCAGCTGGAAAAATATCGCAGCAATGCCAGAAGATATGGCCCCTGAAGTGTCTACAGGATGGAAGAAACGAGGAGAGGCTCGACAGAGAAGCCCGGCTGATTCTCCCCACCAGATAGTCTATTTCCTTAGAGAATACCAGCACTCCCACTTGGCCCACCTGCCTGATTGTGGCCAGTGTCAGCAGAAGCCCACTAGACACAAGAACAGTTAAACATTCCTGGTGCTGCTGGTCAGCGCTAAAAACCTAGGCCGTGGCCAATGGGATGTCAGCAGTCTCTTAGCAAGTTAACAATTAGGGGGAGGGATAGCTCAGTGGTTTGAGTATTGGCCTGCTAAACCTAGGATTGTGAGTTCAATCCTTGAGGGGATCATTTAGGTATCTGGGTCAAAAATCTGTCTGGGGATTGGTCCTGCTTTGAGCAGGGGGTTGGACTAGATGACCTCCTGAGGTCCATTCCAGCTCTGCTATTCTATTATTTCTATGAACAGCAGCTTGAGATCATGGGCCAAAGCCTGATATGAGACTTAAGCAGTGCCTGGGCCAGTCTTCTGTACAGGAGTGAATGTCACTGAATTATCACTAACACTGGCTTGGCTTCCACTCTGTCCTGACCCACATTCTCAGTACCATGGGTGGGAAAGCCTCTGATTTCTAGTTTGCCTATATTGCACCATGCTCCTGGGTGTGTTGTCAGCTGCAGGGATTGAATCTAGGGCCTCTGAATCTCCAAGCATGAGCCACTATTACCTGATCTACAGAGCCCAAGACCACAGCAACCTCATCCTCCTTTATATGTGGCCCAGCCGCTAGATGGGGACAGAGCACCACAGGGAGGGTCTGGGTTACACCTACATTTCTGTCTCTATCATCTTGTTCTGTATTTGCAGGATTTTGTTCTAGAGCAGTGGTTCCCAAACTTTAACAGCCCGCGAACCCCTTTCACTAAATTGTGAAATCTTGTGAACCTCCTCCTAAAAATGAATATTTGCAGGGATTTAAGTTTAAATTTCCTCAGTGTGATGGATGCCCCAACTGCCGGGCCCCAGAATCTATGAACCTCTGAAAAATATTTTTAATTGAAACTTTTTTTAACGAACATAGAAAAACCAGAAACCAAAAATGTTTCTGCAAAATGTTTTTTTGGCTTTTGTTT